GCAAGGGAGGCCCTCATTTGGCAAATGAGGAAACTGAGGCAAAGAAAAGTCCCACTGATAAGAGCAGACTCAGGATTCAGACTCGGATTTGCTCGTCCTCTTGTCACCAAACCACACGGCTACGCCCCCCAATGCCGTCCTCACCGGCGTCCTATAGTGATGGGACGTCATGGGACCCACCCTAGCTGTTGCTGGGCTGTCGCCCCTCCATGCCTGCGGCGAGGTGTGGCCTTGACAAAGCCTGGACGATAGGGAAAGTGAGCAGAGGGGCATGAGGACCTGCAGGTCATCTTCAAGAGGAGGCCACCTGCTCTTGCGGTGAGTCCTGGACCATCTAGCCTGGACTGGCTTGTGCGGAATAAACTCCCAGGAAAGCCGGAGCACTTGGCTGTCTTGGTCATAGCATCGTAGCACACACCCGCGCAGGCACCGGGCCACCGGGGAAGCCCAGGTCTCCCAGGACAGCCATGCGTGCAGTAGCAACCTTGGGTTTTACGGACACTGAATTTTAAAAATGTTTTATGCAGCCACTTTACTGAGACATGATTCATGTACCACTCACCCACGCGTACAATCCACTGGTTTCAGTATATTCACAGAGCTGTGCAGCCGCCATCGTGTGCGATTTTACAACATCTTTCACCACTCCAAAAAGACGTCCCACGCCCGTTAGCAGATGCCTCATTCCTCCGTCCTCCCCGCCCTCGACGGCCACAGATCTGTCTCTGCGCATTTGCCTATTCCGAATATTCCCTTTCAACGAAACCGTCGCTGCGCGGCCTTTTGCGCCCGGCTTTCTCACTCGGCGTGATGCCCCGAGGTCTCCCCACGGCGCAGCGAGGACCGGCGCTGGGCTCAGTTCACGGCCGCGTCCCCCCCACGGTGGGAACGCGCCGGGTCTCCCTTTACCCTTTCATCCGCTGATGGGCGGCTGGGTTGTTTCCTCCACGGGGCCGTTGCGAACGTCTGCGTTCAGACCTTCGTGCGGACGTCATTTGTTCTCTCGGGTTTGTCTCTCGGAGTGGATTTGCCGGGTCACATGGCAACTACACTTAACCGTTTGAGGAACTGCCTGCTTTCTGCAGCGGCTGCACCACGTCACATCGCCGCCGGCGGAGTGTGAGGGCTGTGATCTCTCCACGTCCTCACCCACGCTGTCACCCGCCTCGTGGGGGTGAAGTGCCACCTCGCCAGGGTGTTGATTTGCACCTCCCTTGGCATTCGACGGCAGGGCCCGTTAGTTGGGTTGCTTGTCTTTTTATTACTGAGTCGTGAGAGTTCTTTATATATTACGGATACAGACCCCTTATCAGACGTGATTTGCAGAAGTATGTTCTCCCATTCTGTGCGTCCTTTTCAATTAATGGTTTGCTTTTAGGCACAAAGGTTTTTAATTTTGATGATGTTCTAATTTTTCTATTTTTTTCTTTTGTCATTATCCTTTTGGTGCCACATCTAAGGCTTTGCCTAACTCAAGGTGACAAGGTTTTACTGTTACATTTTCTTCTAAGACTTTCGTAGTTTTAACTTTTAGGTGAGGTCTGCGATCATTTTGAGTGAATTTTGGTGCACAGCAGAGAAGGGAAGGGTACGTCTTCATTCTTCTGCATGTGCATGCCCAGGAAAAATGGATGTTTAAATCACTTAATGCCGTATTTTGTTTTTTAAACAATAATTTCACCCTCAACTGCGGAGCAGGGTGACAATAAGGACCTGGACAATGTCCCCCAGGTCCTTATTGACTGATTCTGCAGAGCAAAGGGGCTCACCACACCAGGGAACTTCTCAGAATGTCTTCTGAAGTCCTTTTTTAGGACAGAGTTTCTATTCTCTCCCACTAACCCACCTCTGAAACGAGTCGCACTTCCCGCAGACTACGCACTTGTGATCGACCCTCACTCGGGAGGTGGGAAACTGAGGATCGGAAAGGTGGCGCAGCCCCGTGGCCTTCTGGGTCCACGCTTCCACGCGGTGCACTCTGCCCTGGGGTGGAGGAAGACACGCATGGACTGCTCCGTGTGAAGGACACCCAGGGTCCAGGAAGGCTCCCAGGGCCGCAGGGAGCGAGGATGGAGTGACAGGGAAGGCACCGGAGGAAGCAGCCTTGAGTCGTGCCAAGTGAGGTTACGTCACGTCCCAGTTCGAGTATGCCAGTGTTGGCAAAACCGCGCCCAGAGGGGATTAGGCCAGGCCGGCATCAACGCTCTCTGTTTCAGGAGCATCATCCGTGGTAATGAATAACCTGAGTCAAAGGAGCTGAGCGGCTGTCTCGGGAGGAAAGCACTGGATGGGCAGATTTATGCAACGCGGGGACAAATATTACTTATTTGGCAGAACACAGCAGTGTTAATGTCATTTTGAATAATTTGTTTACCCAGTGATTATGTGATTAATGAACACCACGGGCTCGTTGCATGAAACTGAAGTTTGAAATGGCTGGTATATTTCTAGATCTGGTTGTAGTCACCATTGTGGTATAAAAAGTAAATCAATTTAAATTATCTCCCGGGAAAAACAACGTATAATAAATGGGCTAATTAATAGGTTTGGGTGTTTTAAAAAGCCTCTCCCATTCCTGGAAAAAAAAAATCAAAACCATGAGAAGTAATTATTTCAAGGTTGAACTGAGGTTTTTACAAGGTAAGTAACCTATTTGTTTTCTCAGTGAAATAAGAGGTCAGTGCTTACCTGGCTTTGGAGACCCTCCCAGCTGGTTCAAACTCCCTCCCTCGGCAAGAGGCTCAGCTCCTGTCCTTTGCACGTGCATGCTCCTGAACCCGCCTCTCCGGCCTCTGGCAGCTCCTCCTGCCTCGACTCCCCTCTCCTGCCCTCCCACTAGCCACTTTCTCACCCTGATGTCCCCAGTTCTGGCGCTAGCTCCCCAAAGCCGATGGGCCTACAGCTCTTTCCCTTACCGGCAGGGGGCGAGCTCCCGACAGCCCCCACCCCCACCCCCGCAGCAGTCAGGGAACGGCAGAGCAGAGGGAACTTCAGGAACGATATCGCCCAGTCCTCATGTTATAAATGAGCAAATTGGGACCCAGAGAGGTTGACAGTTTCACCCAAAACCACAGAAGGAAATCCAGGGCAGCCCTGGGTGGCACCCGACACAGAAGAGCTTGGAAGTCAGGCTGCGGCTGTGCGCTCGCCTAGCAGCCACCCAACTTCACCTCGCCCGTTTCCTGACCCTTACGCCGGGGCGATGACCACATCTACCCTGCAGGGCCGGTGGGAGGTTAAAATGGACCAGCACACGTGAAGCCTCGGGCCAGGGCCTGCTGGAGCCCTCCGACCCCTAGCTCGTGCATTTCCTCTACTCCCATCTCCCTTGGGTCTCCCGTGTCATCGTCACCGTGGGAGAGGGGAGCACGGGCCCCGGGGCCTGCAGTGGACGGGCTGGGCAAGAACAGATCCCTGGCGCAGCCCTCTGGGTACTTCTGTAGACGAGTGGAACCTGCGCACGGAGGTTAGGGGCTGGCCACAGCCACACACCCAGTGGCAGAGACACAGGTTGGAGGGAGACGACCCAGTCTCATGGCTTTGACATCAGCACTGGCCCTGTGTGGCAGCTCTGGAGGGAGCCATGTGTCAGGGTTCTCCAGAGAAACAGACCCAACATGTACGACAGACAGAAAGAGATTTATTCACTCGATTATGGAGGCGGAGGAACCCACAATCTGAATGCTGGAAGCCCGAGGAAGCCAGTGGTACGGTTCCTGCTCAAACCTGAAGGCCCGAGAACCAGGGCACCAGTGGTGTAAGTCCTGGTCAGAGTCTAAAGGCCGGAAAACCAGGAACTCTGAGGTCCAAGGGCAAGAGAAGATGGATGTCCCAGCTCAAGAAGAGAGAGAATTCCCCCTTCCTCTGCCTTTGTGTTCTCTCTGGACCCTCAATGGATGGGATGCTGCCTGCCCACCTTGGGGAGGGTGGGCTCCTTTGCTCGGCCCATTGACCCAAATGCTAATCTCTTCCAGAAACACTTCGCAGACACACCAGATATAAAGTTACCCGCTATCTGGGCATCCCTTAGCCCAATCAAGTTGACGCATAAAATTAACCATCACACCATCTTTGCCCAGCACCCTGAGGCCCATCTGGGAGAGCTGCCTATGGTTCTGAACCCTGGAACTGCTGGAGTGCAGGGAGCTCAGTCATAGGGCGGGGGTCACAGGGCCGGCCGTGGTCCTCAATCATCCCTGGCCCCAGCTCCCTGGACGTCAAGGCCAGTGAGGTTCCAGGTGTGTAGGAGTGTGTGCACCTGCACACCTGCAATGTTCACTGTCTTCTCTCCCCATCCAAGGTCCACAGAGGGCCCAACTGCCCTGTGGGCTCACTGTACTACCCAGAGAAGGGACGGAGAGCCACCAAGCCTGCACCTGGGAGGTGGCACAGTGAAGGAAGCAGGCTCTGGCAGGCCAGGACAGCTGAGGCTCCCGGCCAGTGACTGTGGCACCCAGGAGCCCTTGCTGCTCCCCACAGGTTGGCACAGCCCTGCAAAGCGGGGATTCAGAGCCTCCACAGCCAGCAGGGGCAGAAATGCGCCCACCCACACTGCCCATCCTGCCAGCACGTGGACTCGGTGGCCTCCCCAGAACATGGGCTGGAAAGCAGGAGCCAGGGAAAGTCACCTCCCCTCCCAAACCTGCTCCCACACCTGTGAACGGGGGCAACAATTTAGTAACTCTGTGAGGAAAGGACCCAGGTGACAGCCCAGTGATCACGGGGCTCCCTTCACGAAGGGGCCTGGCTACCCCCCGCACGGGCGCGCACGCACACGCAGCCGACTACACAGAGAAGCACCAGAAATGCTTTTTTATTCAAGCCCAAATGTGCAGCAGCCCCCGCCCAAACACGTTAGGCCCCTCCCTCCAATGCCAGCTTCCCGCTGCACACACCCATGCTCTACCCGCAGCCCGCACCCCTCCCCACACCCTCAGAGAAGGTGCTGCCCCAGCAGGGGTCCAGCTTAGCTCAGGAACCTCGGCCCCCTGGAGTCTGCCTCAGTTTCTGAATTTGCCCAGCAGTGGCTTTGAGGGCCAAGCCCCCAGGCCCTGCTGTTTGAGGAGGAGGGACAGCTGCCGGCGAGCCTCCTGGTACGGCCCAGCCTGGGGCAGGAGACAAGAGGTGGGGTGAGAGGGGGCGACAGGGGGGTGACAGAGGTAACAAGGGGTGGCGCGGGGGTACAAGAGGGTGGTTGCTGGGGGGCAGGGGGTGCAGAACCCAGAGGAAGGGGCTGGACAGGAGGGGACTGACCTTGGCGGCCTCGTAGGTCTGCAAGGCCAAGAGGTGGGGCCTCCCCGCGGCTTGGGCAGCCTGGCGAAAGGCCCGGAGAAAGGCGGCCTTGCAGAGGCGGGAGGGCGGCCCGAGGGCGGCGCTGGGTGGAGAGAAGACTCCACGTGGGCCAAAGCGAAACGAAGAAGGGCCCAGCAGGCCCGCCCCGTGCCCTGCCCACCACCTCCCCTCGCGCTGTGACCGTCTGTGGGAGTCACAGGGGACGCTCAGGCACCAGCTGCCGCCGCAGAGCCGGTAAGTGGCTGAGCTGGGGTCAGAACAGGGACGGCGACTCTCTCTCATGCTCTCACCCCGCTGCAGGGAGACCGGCCCCCCTCAGCCAGCCCCAGGGGCCCTTCTCACTTGGACTTCACACGCCCGGTGGCCACGTCCACGACCTCAACATGAGGGTCCCCCAGGCTCCAGTTGAGGCTCAGGCCGCGGCAGGTGTCGGGGGTGGGCTCAGAGGGGGCCACCGGGGGCCCTGCAAACAGGTGCAGAGCGGTGCGGACGTAGGGAGGGGGCAGGCATGGCTCCAAGACCCTGTCCAGGTCGGGCCGGTTGTGGATGACCCTGCTCAGAGTCGAGGGGTCATGGCAGGGGTCAGCTGCGGGCAGAAGGCACGGGACAAGCTGAGCTACCTCCACGCTCACCCAGCCCACCCGGAGCCCGCCCTTGGCCCATGCCGGAGCCTCACCCAGGACAAGGCTGGTGCCGTAGAGTGGGGGCAAGAAGTGGGCCAGCAGGGCGCCACCCAGCCCCAGCATGGCCCAGCGTGCCAGCTTGTCGCTGGCCGAGAGGCAACCAATGTGGGTGCCGTGGAGCGCAGGCGCCACGTAGCACACAGGCTTCAGCTGCCCGCCGATGTGGGCCTGCAGGCGGAAGGCCGGGTCATGCGAGAGGCTCCCCTCCGAGGCCTGGGGCAGGCTGCAGGGCAGGGGGAGACAAGAACACTGGGGTCAGGGTGCTCTTCTGACCCCACCCCCACCCAGCAGCCCAACCAAGGGACCCTTGGCCCACGTACTAGATGTCGTGAGCTGCTCCCTTGGGGGTGTTGCTGACATAGAGGTGCAGGAAGATCCGGGGCTTGAGGGCGAAGGGGGGCCCGGGCCCAGTCTGGGGGGCCAGCACAGACCGCTCCTTGCCCTTGGGGCCCCCCTGCGTGGCCAACAGGAGCTGCCGGAACAAGAACCTGGGAGTGACAGGCAGAGGACGGTTGGGGCTGCCACGTGCTGACAGGGGCTGCAGCAGAATGCCCACCCACCTGCCCCTCACCTCAGCAGGGCCCGGCGGGCGACGACCAGCCCATGGCAGTCATGGAGCTGCCGGCCTGAGAACTCCAGCCAGCCGGCACAGCTACTGCTGCCTGTGCCCAGCGCCACCAGCTCGTAGGTCTCCTTGGCGTAGCCCTTGGCACCCAGGATCTCTGTGCAGGGAAGGGTGGAGACGGCCCAGCCTAAGGCAAAGGACCTGAGGGAGGCCTGCCAAAGGGCGAGGGGCCAGGGCAATCCCTACCCCTCTCCAGGATGACGGCAGCCACAGTCCCCTTGCAGGCCCGGTAGGGCGAGCTCTCGTCCAGCAGGCGGTCAAAGCCGGCGCTCACCACAGCCGCGCAGCGCTGCTCGTGGGTCACGATGTTCTCTGCGCGAGGGCGAGAGGGAGCGGGTGGGGATCCCACAGGCCATGCCTTTCTCCTTGACACCACGGTTAGGGTCACCAAGAGCGCACCTACCTACACTCAGGGAAGCAAGTGGAGTCTTGCCGGGGGTCTGGGGGGGTTCTGGAAGAGAGGCATCGGGGGGCCAGTTGCCATGAGTGCAGGGTTTACCCTTCCATCCTTCAGCAACCCGAGGAGGACAAGAGGGGGTGTTTTCATCTTCCAGACACAGAAAGTTCCACAAGCTGCTCCTTTAGCCGTCCCTGTCCAGTGTGGGAGCTACTTCAAGGACATGAGAGCAGGACCCAGATGGTCCTTGCCATGACTTACCCCTTACATACACACTCCTCAGCTTCCCAGTAGGGCTGCAAATCTCGGGCCTTTGTGCCCAGCTAGGGCTCCTTACCTGGCGCTGCGTCACCTGTGCTCTCCAGATGGCTCCGGATGTAGCAGAGCGCAGACAGAGCTGCCTGCTGTTTGGCAACTGCCTTGCTATCTGAGGTACCTGCAGGGCAGACCACCCCATCCAATTCCACGCACACAGAGAAGGGGGAAGAGGGACCTGGGGAAGGAGGGGGGTGATAGAAGAGCCCTATGTGGGCCCTTTTTAGGAGGGGGGTTCCATGCCTAGCCCCCTGGCCCCTGCCCAAGCCACAGTAGCTCTCACCTATGTTTCTACCTGACATCAAGGACAGCCAGAATAAGGAGACCCTAACCGCCCTTCCTTAACCGTGGACTCCATCCACACCAGGCACTGCACGGCGCTTTTGCATGCCGTGTGCCACCATTAACTCAACCGAGTCCTCAGCAAACTCCTCCAAAGTAAGTACGGATGACTACATTTTCACAGCTGAGGCACAGGGGTGGGCAGTGTGCTGGAGGCAGGGCCAGGGCCCAAATCCAGGCCCATCTCGTGTCCATGCTGCCCTGTCCTCAGGATGAGGGCCCCTGAGCACACTGCACAGCCTCCTGCCTGGCACCAGGCACATCATTTTATATTTGAAATTTTTTTTTTATCAAACACTATCATTAGTTTGAGTATTACTTGTAACACAAAAGAGACAGAACTGGGATTTCTTGGTCAAAGGGTACAAACTTATTTAAGTTCACAGTACTTGCTGCTAAATTCCAAAAAGGACTGCCTTTGTAGAAGGGAACCTATTTCAGCATTCCTCACTAGCACCGAGATTCATCTATTTTAAAAGGGAGTCAAAACCAGCAACTATAGGTAGAGGTAGAAGGAACGTTGGCGTTAGAAAACCACCACGCAGCAGCCATTGCAGCAGTAACCAGGTCTGGAAAGAATCATCAGTGGACGATTCACTAAAACCATGAGGTGACAGTGACATGGGGACAGGATGTTTGCACGATCTCCAAATGTCTCCCCTCAGATGACTTATGAAGCACAAAGGGGAAAGCGAAGGCACCTGGCAGATGTTACTCAAGCCCTCACAGCTAACTAACATCACTAAAGGACAAACAGATCACACGCCTCCTGACTTCTGCATCAAGGACTGGACATCACCCGGGTAACATACAGCCTGAGCCCAGTCCCAAGGAGACAGGCAAACCCGAGTCGAAGGACATTTACAAAACTACTGCCCCTTACTCTTCAAAATGTTGTGCAAGACAAGGGCAGGCAGGAACTGTTTCAAATAAGAGGAGATTAAAGAATGTGACAGTCTTGGGGTAGGAAAAAAATGGCCATGAGAGGCATTACTGGGACAAGTGGTAAAATCTGAACGTCGATAATAATTAGATGATAGTGTTATATCAATGTTAAATTTCCGGTTTGATAATTGTCCTATAGTTATATGAGATGATCTTGTTCTTAAGAAATACAGACTAAAGGCTGGGCGTGGTGGCTCATGCCTGTAATCCTAGGTCTCTGGGAGGCCGAGGCAGGCGGATTGTTTGAGCTCAGGAGTTCGAAACCAGCCTGAGCAAGAGCGAGACCCCGTCTCTACTAAAAATAGAAAGAAATTAATTGGACAACTAAAAATATACAGAAAAAATTAGCCGGGCATGGTGGCGCATGCCTGTAGTCCCAGCTATTCGGGGGGCTGAGGCAGGAGGATCGCTTGAGCCCAGGAGTTTGAGGTTGCTGTGAGCTAGGCTGACGCCACGGCACTCTAGCCGGGGCAACACAGTGAGACTCTGTCTCAAAAAAAAAAAAAAGAAATACAGACTAAAGTGTTTAGGGATAAGGACAACGGTGTCTGCAATTAACTTTCAAATTAAAACTGTTTGAGTTGGGGGGTTGAGGGTACGTACTGACAGCGAGCAAAGCAAACAGTAATGATTATACAATACCTCTACATGGTGTGTATAGACAGTATTGCCCTTACCAAACTGTGTTTAATAATATCTTTAAGTCAGCGGATTGGCCCTCGTTCAGGTATCGCCAATGCTGGCCTGGCAACTGTAATTGCATGTAATTGGCCCTTTTAGAAAGTGTACAGAAATACCAGGTAGCGTGGGCCCTTAGCCTCCCTGGAGAAACAACATTCACCTCCCCGTGAGCCTTGCACAGTTCGATGTCTGCGGTGGCTGACGCCCCGCAAACACACGCTGCTCCCAGCGGGGTCCACCTCGAGGCCCCAGGATCAGTCCAGCTCACGCCCCTTCTCTGGCGCCGTGTCAGCGTGGAGACCCCTGTCCCGCCTGCCCCAGATGCCCCTCCTGCCCCAGATGCCCCTCCTTCCATCCCGTGGCTTATTCGAACCCTCGGACTCCCACCCCGGCCGCCCGGCCTCACCTGCCGGCTTGTCCTCGCGGAAGGCCAGGGGCACGCCTCGGAGGGCCGCGTCCTGCGCAAGCAGGGCCACCGCCTGGCCCGGGGCCGGGTCCTTCAGCTGCAGGCTCAACGGGCTGGCTGCCGTCGGGGAGTCCCCGGCGGGCCCCGCGGGGGGCACGAAGACCCTCGGGGACCTCCCCATCAGTTCCCCCAAATCTTCCCGTGCCGGGGCTGCCCCCACTTCCCCCACTCCGGCCCCCGCCCCGGGCCCACCGTCCCCCAGCGCCAAGGCCTGGGGCTGCTCGCCCCGCTCTTTCTCCTCCTCCGCGCGGGGGGCGGGAGCTGGCTCCCAGGCATCTTGGCTCTGACTGGCCGCCCGTCGCCAGGGCCTGGGCCCTGGGCTGATCTGCAACGACGCCGCCAGGCGGGGCTTCCTGCGGCCGCCATCGTCAGCGCCCAAGGCCGCGCGGGCCGGAGAATCCATGGCCTGACGCGGGGGCCGCGGGTCAGCCAGGCTGGATTTTTCGCTGCCCGCGTCCTTTTACACGCGCGGGGCGCATGCCCCACGTGGGGAGCACGCGGCCGACAGTGCGTCGTGAGCTCTGCCCCCGCCACGCCGCTGGCCAATGAGAGACCTCAGAGCTGTGGCAGACAGTGCGCCTGGCCAATGGGAAGGCTAGTCTCCCAGAAGGCCCGGCTGGCAGGCTCCGGGCGAGCGCTGGGGGGCGGCTCCCATCAGCCCCTTCTCTAACCTCGGGCTGTCGTGGAGAAGGGGGACAGGGAAGCGGGTCTGGGGACTCCCGCCCTAGGACTCGCTCAAAGCACAGCCCATCATGCCCACGGGTCCTCCTGCCATAAACAAAAGCGTTCACGTGGTAGCAGCCCCGCAGAATCATTAGAAGGCCTTTCGGAAGCCAAACGGAAGTGCTCTCAAGTCACACATCAGCAGTGGGGGCACCCTGCCTTCTCCCCACCCCCACCCCCACCTCCAAGGGATTTTGAGTTGGCTCATACGGATCCCACAGGACAGCAGTGCTGTGAGGTGAGGAGCCGGATGAAGGCAGGGATGAGGCCAGTTTACATGAGGCCTGCTCTGATGCAACGCGTACTTGCTCTAAGGGGGCCTTAGACTTAACTCTGGGACTTACGGGGGCTAGTTTTTTAGTCCACATCGTCTGTAAGATGTGTCGTGGGAGCTGTCGCAGTTGCTGCTTGCTACTCTTGGGCCTGACCACGCTCACCAGGATTATGGCAGTGGGGAGACTGGGGTTATGAGGAACAGTTGGTGGAACCTGGAACCTTTGACCTAGAAAGAGCAGGTGCAGTGGGCTGGGTGTTTTCAACCTCCCAGACATTTCAAGGATGGCATCAGGAAGGACAATTCCATTTTTGTGTGTGTGGCACAGGGAGCAGAATTAGGCCTAGGTAGAGGGCAGGGACATCACAGCAGGTGTTCAGAAATGCATGATGGCTGCACATACCCACAGAGACTTGAACAGAGTCGCCACACCCAGAAACGTCCCCCAAACTCCCACCAACAGGAGGTCACGTGAACAAATCATGGCATATTCATACCATGGAATATTGCTCAGTAATTTAAAAAGAAACAAACTGCTCCATGCACAACGCGGGACAATCTCCCAGGCATGGGGAGTGAAAGAAGCCAGGCACGTCCTCTACAGGATTCCAACTGTGTCAAGTTCTTGAACTGGCAAAACTAACCTATGGTGATAAGAGTTAGAATAGTGGTTACTTCCTGAAGGGGGGTATTGACCAGAAAGTTGCACCAGGAAATGTTTTCTGTCTTGATCTGGGTGGTGTTGATGTGGGTTTATGTGTGTTAAAACTCAGTGAGCTGTTCACTCAAGACTTGTGCACGTTACTGCATGGTAAGTATATGCCAGTGACAAAAGCAAACTGATAACAGCTTATTCAGAGGAAGGAAGGATGGAAGCGAATTGACCTCCCAGTGCAGAAGCTGGATGGGTGTCTTATAACGGTGATGTAGAATACCAGTGTGGTAAGCAAAACCATGGTCCCCCCAAAGATGTGCGTGTCCTAACCCCCAGAAACTATGAAGATGTTATGTTATTTGGCAAGGGGAGGATTAAGGTTACAGGTGGAATTAAGGGTGTTAATCGGCTAGCTTTGAAATAGGGAAATTATCCTGGATTATCTGGGTGGGCCCAGTGTAATCACAAGGGTCCTTAAATGGAAAAGGAGACAGAAGAGTCAGAACCAAAGAGATGGCATCATGAGAAAGACTCCATTGGCCATTGCTGGCTTTGAAGATGTAAAGGGGCCATGAACCAAGGAATGCAGGAAGCTTCCAGAAACTGGAAAAGGTACGATGACGGATTATCCCCTAGAGCCTCTGGAAAGGAACACAGCCCTTCTGACACTTTGATCTTAGTCGGGTGAGACGTGTGTCAGATTTCTGACCTCCAGAACTGTAAGATAGTGTGTTGTTTTAGCCCACTGTGCTTGTGGTAATTTGTTACAGAAGCAATAGGAAACTACTAAATGTCTTCAATTCTTTTGCATACATACCTCTTAAAATAATTTTGCAAAACTATGTAGCCCAAATTTTTAAGCACAAGTTTAAATAGTTACAAAAGACATAACTTCTGATTTAGTATATGTTATAATCTTATGTATATATCCTTTAAATATAGTTTCACCAAAACCTTAGAGATGCAGGCTTAACTCATTCCATTTATGAAAAGTGTACTTCAGATGACCTCATTGGAAAAGCCCTTCCTCACGGTCAAACCAATCAGTTAAATCAGACTTACTTCCTATCAGAAACAGTCTGACTTAATTTTTCAATTTAAATAAATGTATTAATATTTTCCCAGAAAACCCATCTCATTTCATTCCTTCTTTCATCAATGCAATATTTGTCAAGCATCTACTCCTCTAGCTGTTTGGGATACATCAGGGACTGACTCAGATAGAAGAAATCCTGACTTCTGAATTTTATTTCTAAGGTAGATAGCTAAGGAGGCATGTAGCCTAACCAAGAGTTTGAAGTGTTAATGAGATAAAGCATCACAGCCAATAGTATTTTCTTCTTTTTTTCTTTTTTTTTTAAAAAGACTCTTTGTCGAAGTATAATATACATATAGAAAAGTGTATAGATCATTCAGTGAATTTTCACACACTGAACATACCCATGTAACCAGTACTCAGATGAAGAAACATAATTTTGTCAGTTCCCAAAAGCCCCCCTCCTGTTCCCTTTCATCATTATTTCTTACTGAACCTGTTTTTCTTAGTCTTATGGGGCTCCCTTCTGTAGGGAATCATCCTCTTGTTCAGCACTCATCGGAAGGCAGTGCTCCATAGTGGGAAAAGAGAGTAACTATAAAAAGGGAGATGGGGCTGTCTGCGGTGGTTCATGCCTGTAATCCTAGCACACTTTGGGAAGCCCAGGTGGGAGGATCACTTGAGGCCAGCAGTTCAAGACCAGCCTGGGCAACACAGCGAGAACCCCATCTCCACCAAAAAAAAATTTTTTTTAAACATCCCAGGGGATTGCCTGAGCCCAGGAATTCGAGCCTGGGCCAGGGACTGAAAAACCCTGTCTGAAAAAAAAGGAAGGAAGGGAGGAAAGGGAAGGGAAAGGAAGGGAAGGAATAGGAGGGAGGAAGGAAGGTAAAGGAGAACCATCCAATTCCAAGCACCTCCCAGATAAAAACTATACAAGTTGAGAATTTGCAAATTGATTCTTTAAAGCAGTGGTTCTCAAAGTAAGGTCCCTCGAGCAGCAGCAGCATCACCTGGGAATGGGTTAGAAATGCACATTCTTGGGTCACATCCCAGATCTACTGACTCAGAAACTCTTGGGTGGGGCCCTGCAAACTGTTATTTTAACAAGCCCTTCAAATAACACTCAAGTTTGAGGACTGCTGGGCCAGGACAATGGTAAGATTTATCACTGGACAGGGTTCTTTTAAGCACAGCTCCCACAGAAGCACAATCACCATCACTTGGGAATTTAGAAAGGCAAATTATCAGGCCCCACCCCAAACTCACCGGATCAGAAACCATGTTTTAGCATGCCCTCCGGGTACTGCTGTTGCTCCCTAGAGCTTGAGAATCACACCCTAAAGCTATCCCTGCCTGACGACCCCTGGGACAGCCTCACATACCCCCGGGGGCATTTGTACCCTTATTTTTAAAGCCTGCTCCTTAGAATTTAAGGACAATCCATAGGGACGCCTACTGACTAATACAGTGCCTGGCTCATGGTGCTCGGTGTTTGTTGAGTGATTAATTTAATACCCCCAACAACCCTATGAGATAGGAAGTTGGTGCAGCAGATGAGGGATTCAAACCCAAGTGCACCCGACCTTCGCCGTTAGCACTTAACCGGGCTTTATTTATGCTGCCCACGCGCCGCCTGCAGGCCCGTTCCCCATGTGCTCAGGAGGGGGCGCTCCAGGACGCAGGCGAGGTTAGCCTGGGGGGAGGGACTTCCTGTCTTGCGGGTAGTGCTTCCGGCCAGACCCGGAAACCCGTTAGTTGCAGCTGTGGAGGTTTTCCGGTCCTGAACGCGGGAGCTAGGGTGCAGTTTTGGGTCGCCCTCGTGGTGCGAGGGTCCGGCGAGCGCCAGTCCGAGGCGCACTTTCCGGATGAGCACGACGAGGCCCGGGCTTCGTAAGTGTATGCGCAGCTCTCCGCGCGGACCGGGGTGTTCGGGATGCAGATAACTGAGGGGAGGGACCTCCGGGAGCTCCCATCCTCTGCGACAGCCTCGCTTTTTGCTGTCCCTGGCCTGGCATCAGTGCGGACCCGACTGAGTTCTGCAGCTTCGGAGGTCTGCAGGGGCCTGGAGAGCCTACAACAATAATGGTAGCACTCACCGAGTGCCGGGAAGCCGGCCACGGGAAGTCGAGGCTGCCTTGTCCGAGGGCTTCTCCGCTGGCGTCCTCAGCCTGCCCGAGTTTGTTTCGGGCTGTTTCGTTCTTTTCTCCTCTCATTCATTCATTCAAAGATTTGTTCTTTTCCTATATGTATTAATTGTTACTATTGCAGTAATAGCCAAGGCCCGGGGGATTATAAAGTTCTTGTCCCTATTCCTTTGCCTGTTAGAGCAGTTTGAATCAAACAGTTTCATTCTCAAGTGTCTAATCAAGCTTGGTATGCATGCTCTGCAGGGTTGTGGGAGGCTAGGGTTGGGGGCACTGGGAGAGGCTTCCTTGACTAGAATCTAAAGGATTTTGTAGGAGGGGAGAGAGGACGTTCGGGCTCATGCTAAGTGGAGAGATTATGTGCAAAGGCCCTGTGGCGAGAAGCATGGTGAGCAAGAACCCCAAAGGCGGTCAGTTTGGAGCCCGGGCACCGGAGATGAGCTGGGGACTTTGTGTATCTGTTGATTTATCAGGGATGCAGCCACCCGTGGGAGGCTTGGGTGCTCCTCAGCTGCAGTCAGTGCAGTCGGTCCTGCAAAAGCTGTGATTTTCACAGGGATTCACTGAGCACTTTCTCCATCCTTGCCACTGTGCTAGAACTTCATGGAAAAGAAAATGAAAGCAGCAGCCAAACACCAGGGATTCAGGAATGAATCAGATGCAGTCCCTGCCCTCAGACAGCTCACAGTCGAGTGAAGGAAATCAGGGTATACAGGTGAACCACAGTTAGAACCAGACTGCCTCGTGCCCCGAGGAACACGTTATTCATTCATTTGACAAATATTTACCAGAACTGTGCGGTAGACAGCGAGCTTAGTGCCGAGACTGCACACGTGTGTGGGGGTTGCCGAATGAACTGATGAAATGCCCCATACGTTCCATTTTTGCTTAGTAAGACTCTAATGCTAGTGTTCGCTTTTGGACGTACAGTAGAATAGTGGCCCAGGGCTCCAACTCTGAATTGGGTGAGGATCAAGCCTTGGCTCTGGCAGTTATAAACTGTTGGACATGAGCAGGTTACCCCTTCCTGAGCCTTCGTTTCCTGAACTCCAAAATAGGGGCGATAGAAGAGTAAATATAGCATTTAACATCACATCTGGCAGATGCTGGCACTTGGTGAGTGCTACCATTATTTTTGTTGATTAAAAAAATGCATGACATGGTATCATACTTTTTGTACCGCTTGTACTGCTAGAGGACTTTGCATTTACCTAAGCCCTTTGATAGAAATTTATTTTTACTCAACCCGGTGCATGTTCTGGGAGGCACAGTGCTTGACTGTAAGAAGACAGATGAGGGAGACTCAATTCCTGGCTGCGGAGGAACTAGAGCTTCGTCTTGGGAGTGTGGTCTAGGAGAACAATGTTCACCAGCTCGGAGAGAAGCCGACCCCTCGCCACCTGTCTGACTTTATCTACCACTCTCCTCACTGTTCACTCCGTGGCTGCCTAGTTGTTTCTCAAACACTTTCCTCTCCAAGACTTTTACCCTTGTTGACTGTTCTACCTGGAACCCCTCTTCCCAGTTGCATGTATGGCTGTCTCCGCCCCCAAGCTGTACTCAACTGTCACCTTTTCAACAAGCCTTTCCCTGGCTGCCAGTGCTGAAACCGCACCCTCCCCCGTCACCATCCCCTCTCTCATGCATGGGTGGGTGGTTTTAATATAGTGCTTATTACTATTACTACTTGACTTTAGGCTACATATTCACTTCTTTTTTATCATTTGCTTCCTCAAAGAAAGTATATTCTCTTAGTGTACTTTCTACTCTCCCCAGGAACCCTGGAAGCCATTATCGGATTCAGTTCTCTTTAGAAGGCCAGTGTGACGTTTGGTCCTTGTTTTCCAGGATGGACTTCCCCAGCTCCCTCCGCCCCACGTTGTTCACAACTGGCCCCCTGGGTCTGAGCGATGTCCCTGACCTGTCCTTTATGTGCAGCTGGAGAGACGTATTGACCCTGCCAGAGTACCAGCCCCAGAACTCTGAGGTGAGGATGGAAGGAGGAGGGGCCCTGGCAGTGCCAGGCTGGGCCTTTGCATTTGGTCGCCTTGTGTAACATTCACACCGGTCGACAAGGATACAGAGAGTGGCATTAGCATAAATCTGCTAGACCCAGGCTGAGCCAGAATTCCCTCTGTTGGGGTACATGGAGCACTCTGCCATCCATAGGGGCCCCTGTTAGACCCCGGGAATACGGTGTAAGTCAGTTGACCCCTACCCTCCTGGAACCGGGAGTTAGGCTGTGCGAGAGTAAACAGATGAACAGGCAGTTGGATGAAATAATTACCAAGTGTGATCATAGCTTGAGCAAAACGGAAAGGATGCTGAAACAGCATGTGGATTGGGGAAGGGGAGGGGACCTCCCAGGACTTCTGCTGGTGCCTCAGGAAGGACACTGGCTTTTTCCTTGGCATCCTAAGCCATCTGCCTGCCACTCAGAGACAGCTGGGCCAAGGATGAAGGCTGGCAAATTTGAAAGTAAAAAGAGATACCAGAGTGGGGGCTTGGGGAATAGGGTTCAGGGATGGCCTCCTTGACAAGGGAGGGTTTAACATCAAGTTGGCACTCCTCTGGGAGTCTAGCCTGCTGGCTCCTTTGTCCCCTGAGTGTTTGAGCTGAGACGTCTTGAGCCAGCGCAGCAATGGGAGGTGGAGCGGCTGCCGGGCTCCCAGCATAAGTGAGGCTCAGGCCTCCTGAGTGACATGAGGCTTGAGTGGGGTGCAGATCGGCCAGTAACGGCATGGGGGGCTTCCTCCTCTGAGAGCCAGTGGAGGTGGAGGTCAAAGACACAGACTCTGGAGTCAGGCTGCCTAGGTTCAAATCCCAGCTCTGCTCTTTACTGGCTCTGTCATCTGGGGCAAGTGACAGCCTCCCTGTGCCTCAGTTTCTTCATTGGTAAAATGATGAGAATTGCAGCAACTTTGAAGGGTTGTCGTGAGGATTGGATGAGTTCATGAAAGACAAGTGCTTGCACGGTGCCTGACCCAGGGACTGCGCTCGTTGTGATATTGTCATTGTGGTTGTGTTCCCTTCAGAATGGGGCTCCAGACTTGGCCAAGGACGTGGTGTGGGAGCCAGTGACCCCTGGGCCCCTCCCCTTGCTACGTCCTGCCCCCGGTAAGGTCCCCTCCCTCTGGGCTCACTCCCCTCCCCCTCCTGAGAGCATGCTTTCTCCGCCTATGGGCTCTGCTCCCACGGGGCCTGGGGACACCTGGCCCTGCTCTGTGCCTTTCCTTTCTGTGATCCCCCTTCTTTCTCAGATCCCTGGGACCCTGGCTTGACTGCCCAGGACCTGCTTTTCCGTGGAGGGTACCAGTACCGGAAGCAGCCTCGCGTCGTGCTGGACGTCACTGAGCAAGTGAGTGGGCCTGCAGTGGACAGTGCTGCCTGGCCTGGAGGCTGTGCTTAGTGACCTGGCCATCTCCCCTCTGCAGCTCAGCCGGTTCCTGTGGGACCATGGGGAAATAGCCTTCGCACCCCTGGGGAAGCTGATGCTGGAGAATTTCAAACTGGAGGGAGCAGGGGTGAGTAACCCCTGGCTCGCCGGGGGCAGGGACTCCCTGCTTCCCTTCAGGGGTGAACCCTCGGGTGTGCAAGCTTGACGAGGCCTTTCCATGCAGAGCCGCACTAAGAAGAAGACAGTCATCAGTGTGAAGACCCTGTTCAAGAACCTCGGTGGACACCAGCCCTGGGGGCAAGTGGCTAGTGAGAAAGGACGAGGAGGATAGGCCTAGCTGGTGACGGGAGGCAGCTGGGACGGGCACCCAGGTTGTCGGCACAGTTGCTCCCCCTGCCCCATGTGGCCATGAGCCACACTTCTCTGTACAGAACTTCCCACTCCAGCTAGCCTCAGGGGAAAGGAAATGGAAAGTGGCAGACTCCAGGAATAGCTGTATCCAGGTGTTCAAATAATGTTAACAGGGCTCTGTCTCTGTTTTCTCATCCACTTCCCTCTGCCCGGCTTGATTCGTAGACAGGCCGTTTTCAATAGCAGCAGGATGGCTTACAATTGCCAGGAAGGAGTCAGGGTTCTTCCTGAGCACCCGAAGTCCCGGAGAGGCCTTTGGTTGGCTTGGCTTGGGTCACTGGCAGGGACAATGGAGGACTCTTGAGGGCCAGGACTGGGTCATATGACTGCCCTGCCCCTGGGCCCCAGGAGCAGAGTGGGGTGGGTTCCCAAAGGAATACATTCCAAGTAGATAGAAAATGTGTGCACCGCCCACCTGGCCTTGCTTGGGATGGGACCCAGTTCTCCCCCATCGCCAACACAACGCGAGCCTCCTGCTGTCCTCTGGTCCCCAGGTGTCCCTGGGCTTACATCACGCACCGGCAGCGCCGGTTCTCCGTCCTCGGGGGCCCTATCCTGGGCAAGTCGGTGGCGAACCTCTTGGCAGAGCTGCTGCGCGAGGAGCTGGCAGCACAATGGGAGCGGCTGCTTCTGGACGAGGCCTACACCGGGGGCGCGCTGGCCTGGGTGCCGGGCAGGACGCCGCAGGTCGGGCAGCTGGTCTATCCTGGTGGAGGCACCCTGGACACGCTGTGTATCCTTTCTTGCTGAGCAGGAGATCCCAGTGGCCCCCTCTGGTGGAGGAGTTGCTGTCGGCATGGCCCAAGGGAAAGGTAGAAATTTGGGGGGCTTGCAGTGACCACAGCTCTTGCCCTGATCCTTAGCAAAAGGCCCAGGTTTCCAAGAGGTCAATCTGACCCCAGACGGCAACCTTGAAGTCCCTGGGTGTCCTGGACGCATCCACCTCCGGGGACCTGTGCGGCAGGTGGCAACCTCCACAGTTCAGGGCGAAGGTGAGGCCCTCAGACACCTCCCTCCCTCCCTGGCTGACCTGCTGCCTGACTCTTGACCGCTTCCCTCTCCTTCCCCTCCCCAGCCATGCTGGCTGTCCGTGCTGACTACCACTGTGCCGTGTGGAAGGTCAGGAAGCAGGGGCAGCAGCCAGCCCTCCTGCAGGTGCTGCAGGTCGAGAAGGGAGCCACAGGGATCAGTCTCAGGTGAGCAGGGTGAGTCGGGCTGGTGACAAGGAGGTGGGTCTGTGAGAAGGGACAGGTAGCCCAAGGTTAATCACACTCATGCCCCGTAGCCCTCACCTACCTGGGGAGCTGGCCGTCTGCAGCCGATCGGGAGCTGTCTGTCTGTGGACCCCTGAGGATGGGTAATGCCCCTTCTCCTGTCGGCACGTCCTGACCCCTTGACCCTTCCCTGCGGAGCCCGTCCCCCGACCCATGGCTTGCCCGTCTCCCCAAGGTTGCAGCAAGTTTACAGAGACCCTGACACTCTTGTGTTCCGGGACCCCTCTCCCTGGCGTTGGGCAGACTTCACCGCCCACCCTCGGGTGCTGACTGTGGGGGACCGCACTGGAGTGAAGATGGTGGACACTCAGGTATGGGGGTGGGAGCAGGAGACCCCGGGCTGGGCACGGCCGGGGCGAGGACGGTGGCATGGGCCTGGGGCCGTGGGGAGGGCTGACGCTGTGCTTCTCCTCCAGGGCCCACCGGGCTGTGGTCTGCTGCTTTTCCGCGGGGGAGCGGAGGCGTCGTGCCAGAAAGGGGAACGGATCCTGCTCACACAGTACCTGGGGCAGTCCAGCCCCGAGTCTCTGCCCCCCACCCTCCACCTCGTCTGTACCCAGGTGAGCGGCCCCCGCCCCGGGTCTGTCGCAGTCGTGCGCTTGAGCCTGCTGTTTGCCAGTGTCTCTGCTGAGCCTGGGCACCTGCGGGCGAAACCAGACGGAACACGCTGGGTGCATCTGGCCAAACATGAGTTCTGCAGAGTTCTGCAGCCAGTGCTGTCCTGCGGGTGGGGAAGCCCTCCTGGGGAGGTGACGTCTTAGCAGGGCCTGGGGTATAACTAGGGATGGAGCAGGTAGGGAGAGACATCAGGGCCAGGGCACCCACGCAAAGCTAGACGGCTCCCTCTGTGTTCAGGAGCCGGAGGAGGACCCGGGGTGCTGGCAGTGTCTCAGGCACGGGCCAGGAGAGTGTGGGGTGGCACGGGAAAGCCAGGCGGGCTCCTATGTGACGAGCCTCCGCACCTCTTCTGAGAACCCTTGTCCCAGTTGTGCCGTGCGTCAGTCCCTCCCGCTGTTGGTCAGCACTGGTGATGGCGCCACCCACTCGGGAGAGCCCTCCTGGGCAGGGCCGGCAGGTGCGGCTGGAGAGGCTCGAGGGCTGATCACCCCGAGAGCCGTGTGGGGCCCCAGCTCGTTCCCAAGTTTCAGCCGCCTCTCACCCCGCTGCTTCTTCGGGCCCCTAGTTCTCGCTCTACCTGGTGGACGAGCGCCTGCCCCTGGTGCCGATGCTGAAGTGGAACCATGGGCTCCCCTCCCCACCCCTGCTGGCCCGGCTGCTGCCTCCGCCCCAGCCCGGCTGCCCACAGCCCCTGCTCCTGGCCGGCCAGGGCGGGCAGCTGCAGCTGCTGCCCATCGCAGGTGAGGGGCCGGGCAAGGGTGGGAAGCGTGTGGGGAGATGGGCAGGGCGAGCCTGGCCTGGCCTGGCCTGAGCCACCTGTCCTTCCTCAGGAGGTGGAGCGTCCGCACCCCGGCTGGCCGGGCCCCCCCAGTCTCTTCCCTCCAGGACCGACTCCCTCTCTGCATTTCCCCTGCTGGAGCCCAAGAGCCAGTGGCAGCTGGAGGAGCGTCTGAAAGCGCCAACCATAGGTGCGCTGGGGCAGGGGAGCAAGCTGGGGGGGATGCAGTGAGGGCTGGGGTGGGAGAGCTCCCCTTCCACCCTGCAGGCCTTGCAGGGCATTGTCGTTCCCGTCTCTAGGCCTGGCCACCGCTGTCCCGTCCTCGGCCTCCACGCCGGGCCTGGTGCTCTTCCAGCTCTCAGCGGCTGGAGACGTCTTCTACCAGTGCCTCCGGCTGCAGGCGGACTCGAGCCTCTGCAGAGATGCCGGGCCCCCTGGCCACCCCAGGCCTCCTGGTGACCCCGGGCCTGACTGCCCTGCCCCCACAGCCTCTTGGACCCCTCAGGACACTGCCTGCTGCAGCCACTGGCTGAAGGTCCTGCTGGAGGTGCCCCCGGATCCCCCCGTGTGGGCCGCACCCACCTTCTCCCACCGCCAGCAGCTGGGCCACGTGGAACTGCGGAGGGATGGCGGGAAAGTACCAGAGGCTCTGCGGGAGGCCATGGCCAAAGGGCAGCTCCTGCTGCAGAGGGACCTGGGCCCCCTCCCCACGGCAGAGCCACCTCCCGCACCCGAGTCAGTCCCGGAGGATGAGCTCAGTGAGCGTCTGGGGGAAGCCTGGGAAGGCCGAGGGGCTGCCTGGTGGGAGCGGCGGCAGGGCAAGACCTCGGATCCTGGGAAACGGCCCAAGCGGCCCAAGCGCCGGACTCAGCTGTCCAGTACCTTCTCCTCGCTCAGTGGCCGCTTAGACCCCTTGGATGCCACCAGCCCGCCTCACAGCCCACAGCAGACATCTGCTAAGGCCAGGCCTCAGCCCCCAGCGACCCCACCCTCCCAGGAGCCAACCGCAGATGTGTGGGCCCAGGGCATCCCCCCAGAGCGGCGCAAAACCCTCCAAGACTACATGGCCAAGCTGCCCCTCCAAAGGGACACCCCGGGATGCACCGCCACACCCCCTATCCGGGCCACCCCCTCCCAGCAGCAGGATCTCCAGGACCATGTGGCCAAGCTGCCACGCCAAAGGGACACCCCAGGACATCGTGCCACAATCCCCTCCCCGGCTTCCAGCATCCGGGCCACCCCCTCCCAGCAGCACACACTTGTCCCCTCTGGTTCACAGCCCCACAGGAAGAAGCCTCGCATGGGCTTCTGAAGGCACAGGGCAGGCTGCCGCCCACGCCCAGAGATCCTCGTCTGCCCTCCGGACCAGCTGTGCCTTCTGTGGCAGGAACTCAGGAACTAGAACAGTCTCCGTGGGGCAGAGCTTTCTCTCCCTGAAGGCCAAGTGATAATGAGCCAAGTCAAAGGAATGGAGCAACAAAATAGTTTCTTTATTTTGTATCTGTGTCTGAAGGTGATTCCAAAAGGCACCTTGGCAAGGTCACCCCTGGGCACGTCTGAGAGCCAGTGTGGCCGCAGGGCCAGTTCTCCCCAGGAGAGAGCAGGGTCTGCTGTGCCTTACCTGGGGGGCTCCAGGCAGGCTGCGCAGTCTTCCTGTGAGACGGGGTGGCCGGACGAGCTCCCCGTGTTTGGTGAGGGTGGGGTGGGGCCCCGGAGCGCTGCTCGTCCCTGGCGGTGCCTCGGGAGGCAGGCACGGTGGCTGTCAGCAGCTGTCGTTTTGGGTTAATTCGTGTTTGTCAGTCTCCACTGTGATCCGATGTTTTGTAGAGGGGCGCACTGTGGACCCAGGTTCAGGGACTGAGTAAACCTCTCAGCTGACCATGCGTGGCAGTGATCGCGTTTCTGAGACTGGACGGTGTCCCCTTCCTGTGTCCCCTTCCTGCTGACGTCTCATGCACAAAGTCCCGTTTCCTCTGACTTTCTCTAGCTCTGGTGGAGGATTCTGCTTTCCTTTGGGGAAAACACCCACCTGAAAATGTTACAGGGACCAGGATCTGGTCTAGGTCTCTACTCACATTGAGAGAGAAATGGTCGCAGGGTAGCTGGTGGAAAGAAACACGCACGACTCTCACAGATGTTAGATAGTCCAGTAACACACTGACTCACACGGACGGCAAAAGGTTTATCATGCTCAAAAAGAGATGTTTATAATTATACTGCTTATACTACAAATAACTGGGGGAAGTCATGTGACAATACAAGGACCACGGTGTGGTCCCACACGTGTGGGGACTCGGGGGCCGTGGGAGAGAAAGTGAGCAGGCGGCTCAGGCAGGTGTCCAGTGAAGGCCCCGGAGCGCGGTCTCCAGTCACTGCCGGGCTTGGGACGCAAGGAGCGCCGGCCGAAGGGGCGACCTAGGCCCACTCCCTGTCACTGCTCATCCAAGGGCAGAGGGGCCGCCTGGGGGTCAGTCCAATCCGAACTCGGTGTCCTCCTGGTTCGCCCCCACCGTAGGCTCCCCAGGCTCCAAATGCGCTTCATCCTATTCGGTGCTGTTTCCTAAAGAGTTAAAGAAGGCCATTCAGTGTTCCCAGGAGGTGCAGCCCACCCTCCGGCTGCTTCCTGCGTGCAGGCCTAGCAGCAGCCGCAAAGCTGTCTCAGAGAAAGCCTGGCGACCGTTAGTGTTGCTAAGAGCGGGCGCTGTCCCAGCTCTGCGCACTCCCTCCCCGGGGCAACGTCCGAAGGCCAGTGCTGAATGAAAGTACTTCGGCGAGCTTGTTCTCAGTCCGCACCGACCAGCTTCCCCCACAAACCACGTCCCCCCGGTTCCCCCGACGTTCAGCATGGCTTTCCGTGTCCTGCCAGCCAGGCCTCTGGACGCTGCCCCTGCTACAAAGGCATCCAGGGCGTGCGCGGGGCTCACCTGGCCCAGACCCTCACTGGTCCCACACTCCACGACCAGGGTGTCAGCGTCCCCTCCCTCCTCCACAAACCGTGGTCTAGCAAGGCCGAGGGCCAGGGACGGTGAGGAGGGGTGGGAATGCAGGTCCCTCAGCCCCCCTAGGCCTACTGGACCAAAACTGCTGGATCTGCCCGCCCACGGGGGCCGGGTGGTCTCCACACAAGCCAGACTCGGCCCCTGAGAAGGGCGGCTCAGCCCAGGCTGGCGGCCTCAGAGCCGTGCACTCAGGAGCGGGTCTACAGAGGATGCGCGTGCTCCCCAGGCACGTGGGTGCCCAGGCACAGCCTCAGGGCATCCCCACCAGCCTCGCCCCCGGGCGGGAGTCAACGGCGCATGTCTACACTGAGCCTTCGGCCGCTGTGATCTCACCTGGTGCAGAGGCCTCAAGGAGCCCAGGGTCCTCGTCTCTACTGGAAGGGAGCGAGGCAGCATCTCCTTCGCAGGTAGGGGATGTCGGCGCGTGGCCTGCGGGGTCCTCATCGCCGAGCTCCTGAATCAGTGGTCTCGGGGACGTGGTGTCTTGTCTTTGAGTCTCCACGTCCCTCTTTACCTCTATTTTAAATATGTCTGTGAAGGGCGCCTGAGCCGCCTTTGAGGTGTCTTTAGAGACAGCGAATATATTTGAAAGGGCGTCCGTGGACGTGTTTTCCAGCACGGGGAGTGACGTGTAGTCTAGTTCAGGGTCACTGTTGTCACTCAAGCTTGAGATGGCCTCAATCTTCGGAAAGCACATTTTCTATTAAAAGAAGAGATGTGTTTGAACATTTCTGTTTTCACAACAGAGCCGCCCATTCTGCTTTTTCACGTAACATCACAAACTATTCATTCTGTTGCCACCTGCCAAAAGCCCGAGGGAACACGGGACTCTGCCATTTGAAAGTCAGGCCTTGGGACGGACACATTGGCTAGCTGTGTCTGCTGAGCTGTGCAGCCAATGTCTACACTGCTTTCCAACCCTCTGCCGTGTTCATGCTGCGCTTCCCCGCCCTGCTGAGCGACACCCTCCCGGTACCTGAAGGAGGTCCCCTCAGAGCCCTGGCCTCTGGCTGGCACGCCTCTGGCTGGCACGCCCCTGGCCGCAGCTTTGTTCGCAAACTCTCTAGGACTTAGCTCCTTGGGTATCTGCCCACCCACGGCCACTGGGTGTCTACTTGCTTTGTTTCACTAAAGCTCATGCACAGAGATTGTGTCTGATGCTTCTGCTCCCTCGGGGACCCGCCTGACACCCATGGGCTCTGAGTCACGGCCGAGGGGGAGGGCCGGTCATTTGGGAGAATTCCCCTCGCTGCGTCACACACTCACTCCTCTCTCCTTGCCTCTGTCTGTGTGTAGCTGTGTTCAACCAGGTATTCACAGGAGTGACATACAAATTTATCACAAGCACAGAAAAAGGGGTTCAGGCCACTATGCACAGTATTCAGTTATTACACACCAGCAATAAAACGTGTGTTCAAGAAAACCCAAGTGGTTAATCATAAAAACTTAGTGTCATGGTGGCTCATGCCTGGAATCCCAGCACTTTGGCAGGCCAAGGCAGGAGGATCACTTGAGGTGAGGAGTTCGAGACCAGCCTGGGCAATTTAAGCAAGATCCATCTCTGGAAAAGATTTAAAAAATTAGCCGCAGGCCTTAGCTACTTGGGAGACTGAGGCAAGAGGATTGCTTGAGCCCAGGAGTTCGAGGCTGTAGTAAGCTATGATTGTGCCACCACACTCCAGCTTGGGTGACAGAGTGAGACTCTGTCGCTAAAAAAATAAAACCTTAAAGAAGTGAGCAAGAATAAATAGCTACATCTCCTTCGGCAAGGTGAAAATACGGAGGTGTGCGATGCTTCAGTCACAAAGAGCATTTTACTTTCAAGTTTCGGAGATATACTTTGTAAGTGACAAGAATGAAAGTGGAATTAAGTTGATGGTGGGAAAAATGTGTACTGATAACCTCATCCCGATCGTCCGAAGATTCGCCAGTATCAACATCTTCCAGGTCAGGTAGGTCCTGAAAGAGCAAATGAGCCGTATGTCACCGGGGAGGCACACACACTCTGGACGTTCCATAGGCAAGATAAATGCCAACGTGTACGGTACATTAAATCCTAGTTATATGCAAGCACAGCTAGAGGAGAAGTGAGCAATTACCCAAATCACTCAAGGACTCCTCCATCCACTCCCCGCCAAAGGGAACCCCGTACACACACAAACCGCCACTCCAGGTGTCTGATCTAATGAAAGTGAGACTTTGCAAGGTGTGAGGTGTTTAAAGAATGTCCACATCTTTTCTTCACTCTGTCAGAGAAACAGCCAGTTCATCTGGAGAAAACAAGGGGACCCAATCAAATGTACCTCGACAAATTTGTGCCAGGGCTCTCTGTGGTACGCAAGTAATGTATTTTGTACCCCTCCAAAACGGGTAGGACTTTTAAGTTTTGCATTGTGGGGTTTTATGTTTTTTTGGTATCTTTACCTGTAGCAATCGGTTGGCGTGTGGGGGAGGGAGACAGTGGGAGGTTAGACGGGTGAACTCTGGAGCTACATTGCCTGGGTGGTTATTCCCACGCCACGATTTCCTAGCTGTGTTGCTTTGGGCAAGTTGCTTAACCTCTCTGTTTCTGAATTTCCTCGTCTGTAAAATTGGGATGTAACAGTACGTACCTGTTAGAGTTATTGGAAGGGTTAATACAACTTGTGCTTAGGACAGTGTCGTGCATACAGTAAGAAGTCAGTAAATATTGGCTCTTAGTGTTGTAGTTCTGCATGCAGTCAGTTCTCCAATGTTAGAGATAAATTGCCCACATGTGTTTCTTATACATAGGTCCAAAAAACCAGAAACCCACTGTGAATATTGACTGCGATCACTTTAACTCTTATTGAGTCAGGTGAAATTATTAACAAGGAAGCCAGCAGGAGCAGCAAAGCTACACACAATAGGCAAGAGTGTGACACCCCCTACCCCACTAGGCATGAGGTCAAAGGTGCTGAGAAACACCTCTCCCACTCTTGCCCCATCAAAGTACAGTTCCTGGGGGGTTGTGACAAAAATGTGAGCTCCCACGGTGCCGTTCCTGTGGGCCCATGCGTTTAAGACTGTCATCAAAACAGGAAGAGCTTCAGGGAGCAACATGCAAGGCTGTCATCAAACATTCACTGAACAGGCCCGAGGGGACAGTCACACCTTCACAAGCCAACAGGCCAGCGAGAGCATGGGCTGCTTTCTGGGCAGTGTCCTAGGAGGACTGAGAGGCTGTGATGATAGAACGTAACTGTCTCAGCACTTTTATGTAAGGCGAACGGGGCAGAATTGCTTTGCACTCTAACTTACTCGGTGAAAACAAATCAAGCGCTGGGTAGGCTTAGTGCAAAGGGAGCCATTGGGCCAGCATGTCCCAAACTTGAATGGCGCATGTATGAATTCCCGGGGTAGATCTTACGAAGTGCAGATTCTGATCAGCAGGTCTGGGGGGCCTGGGGTTCTGCATTTCTAACCCGCTCCCCACCCGATGGCCCAAGCACCACACTTCGGGTCCTGCGGATTTCAAAGGTTTGTAACTGATCACCTGTTTTACCGACTATAAAACTGACACTCATCTCCAAGGGTAAACACTCCACATACATCAATGAAGAACGTCTCTTTTGTCTCCAGTTCCCTGGTTTCTGAATCTTCAGTCTCAGCTCCATCGAGTTCAGTTACCTCTACGTCCTCAGTGGCCACAACCTGGCGAGTCGATTCTGAGGGACAGAACAAAAAGTAATTCATCTCCGAGTGAGTTTGACACACAGTGTCAGATGCACAAGCCCCAGGGGAAGATGGATCCCAAGGGCAGACGAAGGCCAAAAACCCTCCTCACGTCCCAAAGGCCAGCCCCGTGGCAGAAGCCACCAGCATCCACAGCTTGGGACAGGCTTCTATCTACTAAGAAAAGGAAAGGAACGGCAAGGCTGCCCCTTTCTGTAATCTGGAGGCGAATCCAGTTCGACAAAAGCACCAGCCAGGGAGCCGCGCAGAAGCAGCAGGCACCTGGGAACCGAGGCAAGAAGACGCTGACAAGGGCCAGCTCAGGAGACGAGTGGGGCAAGCTTCTCGGCCCTGCCCAGGGAGGGGTGGCCCCCTGCCAGCCTGGGTTCCTGTCCCCAGCCAGGGCACACACCCCTCGTGCAGTGTCATAGTTGCCAGGTCGCCTGGGGAATGCGGGGCCGCCTTGTGACCCTTCCTGCGCCAGGCCCCGACTCTTCAAGGTCCCCAAGGCTGTATCCTCAGGTCCTGTGCTCCGATTTCTCTTCGGTCTCGTGGCTTTGATTTTGTTAGAGATTAATGGTCCCCCTTTCGTCTTTACCCGTAGGTCCAATGTGTCCACCTGAGACTCAGAGCTACATCTGGGCACCCGTTGGGGATGAGACAAGGAATCTGGCGCAGGCCACCCGGCCCTCCTGACCCTCACTCCGCGGCCCGGCTGTCTCTGGTCCCCTCCACTTGCACGCCCTGTGGCTTCTCAAACTCCGGGCTTGCAATTGCGACGGCTCTCACCTCCCTCTCACGCCCGCTCTTCTTCTGTCCCAACTTCCCCAGCCAAGGAGCCGAGGTCAAGGCAGCTGCCAAGTCTGTCGTTTCCACTTCACCGAAGCCCAGCCGTCTGGGCTTTGTTTGGTTTCTTTTGGGGAAAAGGTGAGGCAGGGAAGAGACCGACGATCCCTGGGTGCTTTGCTGATTTCCCTGGGTCCATGGCCTGGGGACTGCCTCCATGTCACAGAGGCACACACAGGCTCAGAGGGGTTTTGTGGTTTGCCTGAGGTCACTCAGCTACTGAAGGGGTTGGACTTGGGTTTGACCTTGGGGTCCATCTAGAAACCACACCGTGCACAGTGTGGTTCAGTAAAATGCTGGCAGCATTCTGCAGACCGTCTGGGGACACTAGACAGACGCTAAAGCTCTTCCAGAGAGAGGCGTGGTTACAGAGAGGGAAAGCGTACGGCATCTCCAGCCCGGACGCACTCACGTGCGGCTTCTCCCCTCCCTGGCGTGTAAGCCGCAGAGTGCGGTGGGGGCGGGTGTCCACGCAGAGCCTGACCCTGTCCGCAGGCCGCTGTCCCTGGCCCCTGCCTTCACGGCCGGGCCTCGGCAGCATCTGCGCGGGAACAGCAAGGCCGGCAGGCTGTGGGCCTCCTTCCTCTTCACCCTCGCTAAAGCCCGGTCACTCGCGAGGAAGCACTGGTTGGTGTTGTAAACGGATGGTTTCTACTTAGATTTGCCTTTCCTGGGGCCGAGTCTCGGAAGAGCCCAGGTGGAGGAAGGACCTCCTGCCCGAGGGCGCAGGCGCGGGAGAGCTGGGCGGGAGAGGCCGCAGCGAGGATGAAGAGGGGCAGAACCCGGGGAACTGGGCTAGACTCTGCCCAGGGCTTTCCTTCTAGATCAGCACCATCTACTATGGCGGCCACGGCCACATGTGCCACTGAGCGCTCAAAATGTGGCCAGTATGAATATTTTGTTTAATTGTTTTTACTTTTAATTAATTTTAAGTTTTAAAGCCGAAGCAGCATAAGGCGGCTTGCTTGTTGTGGTAGGACTCCGCCTCCCTCCGACCTGTGAGAAGTCAGCGTGCAAACCGAGATGTGCTGGACGAGTCAGATGCACGCTGCGCTTTGCTGGCAGTACGAAAAAATGTAAAAGACGAGCAATTTTCACGTCGATTCCATGTTGAAGTGATTATATTTTAGATGTATTGGGTTAAATAAAATATTTGGTTAATAGCTCTACCTGTTCCTTTTTACCGTTTTGAATGAGGCTACTAGAAAATGTAGTAGTGGCTCCTTTCGTGTTCCTATTGGGCAGCACTGTTGTAGACAAGGAGACGACCTGTGACCTCTGTCTTCTAGAAGCAGCAGTCAGGAAGAAGTGACACTCAGACCCGGGGCTCACAGACTCGTGACGCAGAGGTGGGGCTCCCTGGGGGTGGCGCCCCGTGCCCCCTGCACCTGTGCATGTGTCCCCGCCGGCATTACCTTCCCTGACAGCCGCAAGGAGTGGCGGTGGCGGGGCCTCGGCTGGGAGGGTCCCCTCCGGCTCCTGCTCTTCGGTCTCCCCGCTGACCTCGGGGGGCAGCCCCTCTTCTCCGCGGGGCATGTCTGGGAACAGCTCGTCCTTGGCCTCGAAGCTTTCCTTAGCAAACAGCTCCATTTTCCGCCTCGTCTCTCCCTCCCCGGGGGGCTCTTCCTTGCTGTCCATGCTGCCACACTCATCCTCCCCGTCGTTTGGCGGTGGCATCGCCCCTGAACGAGGGAAACCCAAAGGTGAATTTAGAGACATCTGGGGGGACAAGGGTGTCTGTGCGTCCATCAGGGGCACGCGGCAAATGAAGGTCTTGGGGTGCAGTTAAAGACACATCCTGGAGGGAGGTGCGGCTAAGTGCCCGTGTGGTCAACGACAAAGGGCGCTGCCCGTGCGCAGAGGGCGTGCTGAGCACACCTGTTTAATGGCACGGGAAGGGCACAGCCATTGAGAAAACAGAGCGCAGGACGTTCTCAGGAGACGCGCTGAGGTGTTTGGGGCTGAAGGGCCTCGATGTCTGCCTTTGCTCCCAAATGGTTCTGGAGAAAAGTGTGTGTGTGTGTGTGTGTATGTGTGCATGTGTATGTGTGTATGCGTGTATGGGTGTGTGTATGTATGTGTGTGTATGTGTGTGTATATGTATATGTGTGTGTGTGTGTGCATGTATGGGTGTGTGTATGTATGTGTGTGTATTTGTGTGTGTGTGTATGTGTGTATATGTGTGTGTGTGTGTGTGTGCATGTGCGGTAAATGTGTGGCAAAATGTTAAGGACCATTGAATCTAAGTGGACACAATACAGCCATTCATTTTCCAATTCTCTCAGCTTTTCTGAAAATTTAAAAAATTTCAAATTAAAAAGTTAGGAAAAGGAAAAAAATATATATATATACTATTAAATGTAGGAAAATGTGTTTTATGAAACCAGTTATAGTATGCTAATTGAAAATAGTAGGCAGAAAGCAATATAGTTAATGTCATTTTTATATGCGAATATATGTGTTGCGTACATGGGGAAAAGCCAGGAAATATATACACCAAGATATTGAGTGGTTCTTGCTGCGATTATAGTATTATTTGTGCTTTCTCTGTTTTCTACGCAAAGCGTATTCATAGTTTGTAATTAGGCGAAAAGCAATAAATGTCATTTAAAACACACACCTGGCTGTTCCACCGGGTACGGAACCGAACTGTGGCACACCCAGCCGGTGTTGGAGAGCTGGCTGGTGAGGGACAAACCTCTACGTCATGGTGACCAGAAGTGTGTTGAGAGCCGGGAGTAGAGTAGATGAAAACAAAACTCTTTGTTTTCTCCTACTTTACAGCATCCATAGAAAACCAATATATCATTTATTTTGAAAACTAGAGACTATTTTAACCAATTGTGTTTCAATCCATAAAAGTGGTTTGGAACTGCCCATAACTGTTAAGAGTTTCTGACTGGCTCTGGCAGGTGGGTGACGCCAACTGCAGGCGCATCTGCAAGTATGTGAATAAATGCTTTTAAAAAAATCCCCGAGGTGACAGACTATGAGTGTGACAGCCCGGACTCGCCTACCCTAACGGGACCGGGCCGTGTGTTCCACGTGGAGCGCGTACCTCCCTCTCGGCTCCCCCGCCGCCTTCTCTCCTCTGCCCGCTGCTTGATCAGCGCCAAGGCTGCGATGCTGTCCGCGATCTTCTTCTGCTCTCTGCTGTCCCACTGCTGTCTCTCCTCCCTCTCAGCCGCGTACCCTCCCCTAGCCCAGGCCTCCGCACAAGCCCTGGTTAAAAAATAAAGAAACGAAAACAGGGGAGGTGTGAATTTTTACAGGTTGAAAACGAATTCCAAACATACGCCATCTGACCAAACTTGTTCATTTTCTTCAAAATCAAAACCAAGGGCACATAAGACACATAGCTGCAAGGATGAAAATTAACACATGTAGGCCGGGCGCGGTGGCTCACGCCTGTAATCCTAGCACTCTGGGAGGCCGAGGCGGGAGGACTGCTTGAGCTCAGGAGTTCGAGACCAGCCTGAGCAAGAGCAAGACCCTGTCTCTACTATAAATAGAAAGAAATTAGCCAAACAACTAAAAATAGGAAAAATTAGCCGGGCATCGTGGCGCGTGTCTGTAGTCCCAGCTACCTGGGAGGCTGAGGCAGGAGGATCACTTGAGCCCAGGAGTTTGAGGTTGCTGTGAGCTAGGCTGATGCCACGGCACTCTAGCCCGGGCAAAAAGAGTGAGCTCTGTCTCAGAAAAAAGAAAATTAACATGTGTACACTTCAGTCTTTACAGTCCAATGGTCTGCAAAACCTTCTCAGATATGGTACCAAAAGCACAAGGGATGAGAGAAAAAATTGAGAAATTGGACTCCATCAAAATTTAAAATTTTTGTAATGCAAAAAATATCATAAATAAAGTAAAAAGGCAACCCACAGTATGTGAGACGATATTTGCAAATCATATGTCTGATAAGGGTGTTGTACCTAGAAAATATAAACAACTCTTACAACTCATAAATAAAAAGACGATACAATTTAAAAATGAGCAAAGTTTAACAGAATGGAAAGACAAGCCACAGACTGGGAGAAAATATTGGCCAAAAAGATGACTGGACAACTGACAAAGGGCTTGTATTCAAAATATACAAGGAAGCGTTCAAAACTCAGAGAAGGAAACAAACCACCCAGTAAAAAATTGGGCAAAAGATCTGGCCACATCACCAAAAAAAGATACCCAGATGGCAAATGAGCACATGAAAAGATATTCAGCATCCTACGTCATCAGGGAACTACAAATTAAAACAAGATGACATTAGACGCCTATTAGAAGGGTTAAGGTCCAGAACGCTGGCGCCACCAAACGCTGACAAGGGCGTGGAGCAGCAGGAGCCCTTACTCTCCGCTGGCAGGAACGCAAGGCGGCACAGCCACTCTGGAAGACAGCCTGGCCGCTCCTTACAGAACGAAACACACTCTTACCATACAGTCCAGCCACTGCGCTCCTAAACATTTACCCAGAGGAGCTGAAAACTCACGTCCACACAAAAACCTGCACGTGGCTGTTTATGGCAGTTTTATTCCAACTGGCGAAACTGGCGGCAACCAAGATATCTTTCAGTAGGTACATGATAAACTCCAGTACATGAACACAATGGAAAATTATTCCACAATAGAAAGAAACAAGCTATCGAGCCACAAAAAGTCACGGAAGAAGCTTAAATTCATCGCCCAGTGAAAGAGGCCAGTCCGAAGAGGCTGTCTACTGTATGACTCTAACTATGTGCCATTCAGGAAAAGGCAGAACCATGGAGACGCTGAGAAGATCAGCGTGCCAGGGGTTGCGGGTGGGGAGGCGAGAGGGATGAATAGTGGAGCACAGAGGGCGTTTAGGGCAGTGACCTATTCTGTGTGACACTGTGATGTTGGACACGTGCCGTCGTATATTTGGCCGCACCCATAGGATGTGCAGACCCCTGGCAGGGCGTCCTGCTGTGTGCCAGGCGCTATTCTAGAGGCCGCGGACCCAGTGGTGAACCTGAGAGATGACTTCTGTCAGAGCTGCCCTGTAGTGGGGGGAGACAGATCCTAAATAAGGAAGCAAGTATATATCAGAGGCTCATGCATCCTAAGGAAGGAAACCAGGCTAAAGGGACCGCAGGTAGAGAAGGGGCTATCTAGATGGGGCGGTCGGTCATGCAGAGCTCCCCAGTAACACGACAGGTGAGCAGACGCCTGCTGCAAATATCTGGGAGGAGCACCCCAGACAAGAGCGCGTGCCCAGCGTCCAACAATCCAGCCAGAGAATGGCTGGGTTAGGGTTCAAGCCCGGGTGAATCTGACTCCGGAACTGGAGCCTTGTGCTGTGACGTAAAGAACAGTGGGCGCTTCACCCCGGGGCGAGGGTGAGCATCCTCCGTGGCCCCAGCTCCCATCGGCTCAGACCTGCTCAGAGTCCTACGTGACACTCACAGATACTCGCAAGGACCCTTCGGTAAGTATTGTTATTACTAATATTATCCCGACTTCACAGATGAGGACAGCGAGGCCCAGGGAGGTCCGTGAGCTCACCCGAGTCACAACTTGTGGCGCCGAGCTGGGCTTGGAAGTCAGGCCCCTGGGTGTCTCCTCTGGCGGTCCCCCCACCCCCAGGCCTGGAGCTCAGGGAGAAGGTTCAACCTCTGCTGGACTCCCCAGAAGCAGGCCTTCCGGTTTCCTCACTTGGCTGGAGTAGAGACCGTACTTGAAATACTTGTTAGTTTGATTTAAATTTGTGAATTCAAAAACAGATTAATAGCTGCATTTTGTTTTAAATGTTGCATAATGCAAGATTCACATTGCACATATTGAGCAGTCTATATTACTGAGGTTTTAGTCTAAGTTAGAATTACTAAAGTCATCTAAATTAGAAGGAACATTAAAAATGAAGATAAAAGTAGTGAAAATAAACATGGCGGTCCAGGGTACAATGTTCCTAATATAAAAAAAAAACTCTCTTACGAATCAATAAGAGAAGCACTTCAAAAGGCAACTTGGAAGAAGAGGCCATGCACAGAATATTCATAAAAGAGGAGAGATAAATGTCCAATAAAGATGGAAAAATGACCAACCTTATCAGTTATCCAAAAATACAAATTTAAAGCAATGAGATGCCATCTTTCACCTACCAACTAACTTGGCAAAGATTTCTTTTACAAGGCTATGTCTGGTGAAGTTCTAAATTAGTACAAACTTTCTAGAAAACAATTAGAAAACATTTATAAGAGCTTTTACAAGTCTCGAACCACATTCTTTAATCCAGTGGTACTACTCAGAGAGTCCCATCCCAAGGAACTCATCAGCAATGAGGTCAAAGACTTATATATAAGGACAATTATCACACGAATATAAAAACCTATGAACGAGTGCTCAAGTTCCTATTACAGGCAATGAAGTGGCCACTAGGCCACTTATTATTATTCTATTTCCAAAGAATAATGATGTGTGAAAATGCTCAAAAATCAGAAATTTTAAAAGTTTAACATTAAGCATGCTCAACTATTAAATGTTAAAATATGATCAAAAGGCTTTTCTCTTCTTACCTGTCCTTTGGAAAAACCGGTCTATCATCCAGGTACGTTAAGTGTTTTAGCCGAATAGTGACTGTCCTTCGATAATTAGGAATTTGCCTAATAACCGGGTTTCCCATCAAATTCAGTACACGCTGTAAGAAGACAAGCAGAACCAAAC